TGGGCAATCCTACTTCCGTAGTGATACTGCCTCGGAAACCCAAGGAGGGGTCGCTATGAGTCGGGGCCGACTCGACGGCACATAACAACAACAACATCTTTTATTTTGAGCCCTAAACAATGTAAATGCTATATAAATTTAGCTATATCCTTTGCCAAAGAACAAAATAATTCTGTATAACAGGAGTCTCAAATATTTTAGTTTGTATGTCATATATTTTGCATGTTGAATATTTTAGTTCATATGGGAAAGCAAGTAAAATATATATTTAAAAAGATTAAAACATTCTATATTCACTTTTCTCACCAATGGTGAGATTCTAGGCTTAAGTCAAAGATTGGTCAGCTATGTTATGGCATTTAAGATGCCTTTATAAACGAGTACTACATTTTACGGGGACAGTGATGGGCCAGCGGTAGAAGACTTACCTTCCATGTGTGAGACCTCGGTTCAACTCCTGGCCACTGCAACTCATGCAGGAGCTCTGGTGGTGTAGTGCCAGAAGGCTGGTGGTTCAAACTCACCACTCCTTGGAAGGAAGGTTGGGCAATCTACTTCCGTAGAGATACTGCCTTGGAAACCCAAGGAGGGGTTGCTATGAGTTGAATTGACTCGACGGCAGTGAGTTTGGTTTGGTTTTTGGTGTACCTCATGCACAGCCACTACCTGTGTGTTAGTGGAGGTGTGTGCGTTGTCATGTTGCTAAACAAGTTTCAGTGGAGCTTTCAGACTGAGATAGACTAGGAAGAAAGACCTGGCCATCTATTTCTAGAAACCCAGCCATTGAAAACCCTATGGAGCACAGCTCTACTCTGACACACAGGGGGTCACCATGAGTCAGAGTCAACTCAACGGTAACTGGTTTTTATAATGACAGAGATGAAGCCTTGGTGGTTCACTGGTAGAATTCTCCCCTTCTTGGGTTCGAGTCCTGGCCAATGAACCTTAGGCATAGTCACCACCTTTCTGTTCATGGAGGCTTTCACGTTGCTGTGATGCTGAACAAGTTCCCGCAGAGCTTCTAGGCGAAGATGAATTAGGAACAAAGGCCCACCATTGACATCAGTCAGGGACCGATTCGATGGCCGCTAACAATAAATGTTGATTTTAGGCCGCGTTTCATGATCAATATTTCGTGTTAACTTGTGACCATCTGTTTGGTTAAGGAGCTAACGTTGACCACGGCCAATGGTTGGACACCCCCCTGCATGCGGCAGCACGGCAGTCCAGTGCGGAGGTCATCCACCTGCTGACAGACTATGGGGCAAACCTGAAGTGCAGAAATGCTCAAGGGAGAAGCGCACTCGAGCTGGCAGCTCCTAGAAGCAGCGTGGAGCGGGCGCTCCTGCTCCGGGAAGGTGATGCGAGGCTGGGGGGACAGGTTCTGCCATAAGCATGTTGCTACCTCTCGTCCCTAGACTTTCTTTCCTTGCTCTTTTTCATTGTGGGTGGCATTCGGGGAGGCAGTGATGTCGTCTGCAATTTTATTTGCTGTACGTATTCACTTATAACCAAAGGCCATGGTATGTCTTCTGAAACAGTTCCTAATTAGGGGAGGCTTTCATTTCGTTTCATTTACTAGTCCCATTTTGTGAAAGTTCCCCCACATCTCATATGCCTTCCAAGAGGAAGCTTTGGCCTAATTGTTTGAGGCGTAGTCCTTAGATCTATGTATCTTAAACTTTAAGGTGCATATGAATCACCTGGGGATCATGTTAAAATTAAGATTCTGATTCAGCAGGTCTGGGCTGGGGCCTTAGCTTATGCACGTCCCAGAGAGGCCAATGCTGCAGGTAAGAGAACTGCTGGTTGAAATGAATTCCCATGCTGCCTCAAGAACGGCTAGAGCCAGGAAGGCCCAGGAGGCCTCCAAGGCTTGAGTTTTGGGCCCCTGGGACATCTCCTAACTGCCTCTGTGACCACACAGGCTGGCCTTCTGCTGACACCCTCTCTACAGTTGTTTCTCTGCTCTGCAGATCTGTGTTGGGTCCAGTATGCTCAGTGTTCCCATTTGAGTTTTCTCCTCGCCACAATATTGGTGTTCTGGCTGCCTAGTACCACTCTGACAAGAATATACCACAAATGGAATGGCTTTAACAAGCAGGAGTTTATTATCTAACAGTTTGGAGGCTTTAAGTCCAAGTTCAAATTGCCAGGCTCTAGGAGCTAGGTGAAAGCCCCTCAACTTTGGGCTTCAGCTCCGCCTCCTGCCCCTGGCCCACTGACGCTGGAGGCTTTTCTTCACTCAGACAGCTACTGGCTGCTGATACTGACAAGCCCAAGTTGACAAGTAAAAAGGCACAGTCCTGATGTTACCAAGCCACACGGCAGGCCATTGAAAGTCCCAAGATCAGCAGAGCATGGCAGGCTGCTGAACAACCCATGGCTACATGCAGGGTTCAAGTGTGCCATAAGCTAGAGGCCATTCCCAAAGCTGTTTCTTATAGACAGAAAGCAGACCACATCCCCAAAGCAGCTACTCAGCTGCTCCAATAGATTCCACCATGGAGTTAATTACCAGTCTCATCATGGGGAATAACTACATTCAGCTGCCCAGCCACTCAACCAGGCCCAGCCAAGGTGATACACAAACTTAACCGCCACAATTGGGTTCATTGGCACTGGGGATACACGAACAAAGTGTGTTCCCTTTACACCACACTTCATTCCTAACTTGCCTCTGGTCAGCCTCATTCTTCAGTGTCAGCAATATCTTTACCATTTGAGGATCAATTTAAAGAAACACATCCCCTTCAGAGCAGCTCTGGTGGCATAGTGCCTAAGGCATGTGACTGCTAACCAGAAGGCTAGCGGTTCAAACCCAACAGCCACTCCTCGGAAAGAAGACTGGGCAATCTCCTTCCATAGTGATACCGCCTTGGAAACCCAAGGAGGGGTTGCTATGAGTCGAATCGAGTCGAGGGCACTGAGTTTGGTTTGGTTTCTCCCCTTCAGAAGGCAAATCGGGATCCCTTTTGTGTATTCAGTGACTGTTACCTCATTCTATAGGAGGTCTGTAGAGGGTAGTGGTGATTCAGTGGCAGAATTCTCACCTTCCATATGGGACATCCAGGTTTAACTACTGGCCAGTGCTTGTTGCTATGCTATGAATGGGAGCTCTGGTGGCATAGTGTCTAAGGCATTTGACTGCTAACCAGAAGGCTGGCGGATCAAATCCCCCAGCCACTCAGGAGGAAGGCTGGGCAATCTACTTCTGAGAGATACCATCTCGGAAACTCAGAGTGGTTGCTATGAGTCAGAAACGACTAGAGGGCACTGAGTTTGGTTTGATTTTTATGCTATGAGTAGCAGGTCACCTGGAGATCTTGTTAAAATCCAGACTAACACAGAGTAGGAAGAAAGGCCTAGCTGCCAATGAGAACTCTATGAATCGCAACAGTGCAGTCCCCAGGCCATCACGGGGATGGTGCAGGCCTGGGCAGCCTTTTGTTCTATTGGGCATGGAGCCGCTATGAGTCAGGGGCCGACTCGGTGCAGATAGCAACAACCTTGACCTTCCTCTGTAGTTCCTATTCAGACCCAGCTTCTCTTCTGCTTTTAGAAAGTGGTCAGCCTCTTCCAGAGCCCTGCCCCACAAGGGTTACACTATTCTAATTTCCTCTGCAGGCCCACCTTCTCTTTCCCAGCTCTGCCGCCTGTGTGTCCGGAAGTGCTTGGGCCGAGCCTGTCATCAAGTCATCCACAAGCTACATCTGCCGGAGCCACTGGAAAAATTCCTGCTATACCAATAGTCCCAGTTGTCCACAGGAAGCTAGTTGGAAGTGGGTTGTCACTTGCTGTACTCAGAACACCTAATGTAGACGCTCAACAGTTAGGCTCTCAGTATCTTCAAATGAGCTAGGGCAGTTTAGAGGAAAGTCATCATGAACCAGAAGGGGAGTGGAAATTCCTGGTTAGGGTAGTGTTCTCATTAACCAAGGGCAAGCAGAAACGTATTTGTTTTTAGCTCTTGTTGTTAAGAAACTCGAACTAAAAAAACAACAACTGTGAACTAGAGTGAAAATAATAGGATATTTTGTGATGATTCATAATCCTCAAGTGCCCAAGGGGCAATATTCTGAATATCATGTAGACACAATCTGTGCGGAGAAGATTATGATGACTGTAAGTATTCCAAGATGTGTTCCTGACTGAGCTCCTCCCCCCGCCCTTTCTTCTTTCTTTCCTTCCTTCCTTGAATAAATCTCTGCTATAATTTTGATTTCCCTGCCTTTTAAAAAATATGTTACAAAGCACAAAATACACTAAAGAAATCACAGTCCATTGAGGATTCTCAAGGTCATGGTTGGTACGAAAGATGCAGGAAGATATTAGCTTCCCCCAAGGCTGGGGTCTGTTGCTCATCGCTTTTGATATTAAATGTTGTTCTTTGAAGGATCCAGCCACACTGAGCACCCCCATCTACCTGAGCCCACAGCACAAGAATTGTCTCATTTTCAAAGTCAAGAGCATCAGGGGTTTTGAAATAATTACATGTCGACGCCAGCCACCAAGGTGGGCACAATGCTGGGTCAAGGTTTATTTCTGTGGAAAGGAGTCCTGGTTGCACATAGGCTAAACACTCAGTGGCTAACTGAAAGGTTGGTGGGCTGAACCCACCTTGCATATCTGCTGGAGAAAGACACGGCAATCAGCTTTCATAACGATTACATTGTAGGAAACCCTCTGGGGCAGTTCTACTCTGTCGCATGGGGTCTCGACGAGTCAGAATTGACTGGATGGTACACAACAACAACAACAAAAAGCCCCAGAGAAGCACAAAGGTAAACTTGAAAAACAGCCTCCTTCTCCTCCCCTTCCTTTTCCTTCTCTTCTCTTCACCTTCTCTCTCTCCTTTTTGTAAATTTAGAAGATGGAAGTTAGATAGGCTTTTAGTTATTGTAAGTAATATCGTCATGGCTCAGTGTGTGTATTTTTTTTAGTTTTCTCTCTCTTTCAGGTGACCCTCACTTCCCTAGGGATATTTGGCAATATCAGGAGACATTTTTGATCGCCACAACTTGGGGGGGTTGCTATTGGCACCTAGTGGGTGGAGACCAGGGTGCTGCTAAACATCCTGCAATGCACAGGACAGCCCCCGCCCCCAGCAAAAAAAAAAAAAAAATCATCTGGCCCAAATGTCAACAGGGCTGAAGTTTTTAAACTATACAGTAGCCACTAGCCAGTGGCTATTGAGCCCTTGAAAGTGTAGCTTGGCTGAATTGAGATGTGGTATAGGTGTAAAATGCACATCAAATGATAATATTTTGGGTTGTTTTTGTTGTTAGGTGCCATCGCGTTGGCTCCGACTCACAGGGACCCCGTGTACAGAACAAAACCCTGCCCAGTCCCACGCCAGCCTCACAGTCACTGCTGTGCCTGAGCTCATCGTTGCAGCCACTGGGTCAGTCCATCTTGTGAGGGGCTTCCTCTTTTTCTCTGACCCCCTACTTCACCAAGCATGATGCCCTTCTCCAGGGACTGGTCCCTCCTGAGAACATGCCCAAAGTACTTAAGATGAAGTCTCACCATCTTCTCTTCAAAACTGAAGTATGAGACATTAAAAGCAAAATTAGTGAAAGTCAATTTTTTGTGATGGGAGACCAGAATTTTACATTGACTGTTGAAACAACCAAGCTCACGCCGTCATTTTCTTTGTTGGAGAATACGTGGAATAGTCTTTTTGTAGAAAATGTGGTACGTAGGGAAAATCTTAGTACCCCACATTCACTAAGAATTTTATAATCCAGTTTATCCCATTCCACTAAAATGGCCACTTTTGCGTTCAACTGCTAATATTATAGTCACATTTAGAAAGAAGTTATATCATGGCTAGCTCAGACATACACACACATATATAATTGTATATATATGTGTGGGATCGGGCAGTGTTTCATTCTGCTGTGCATGGGGTCGCTATGAGTCGGAAACGACTTGACGGCACCTAACAACAACAACAATATATAATTCACTTATCATATTCGAATGTGTGAGTAAACAGAGGAGGGGGCACCACAGATTATCAGGGTTTAGGGCCCTCACATGTCTTAATCTGGCCCTGGACAGCACCTTTTCTTCTGTAAGAGAGATGACCAGAAAAACAAACTCCTGAAGAAGTTTCACAAATCTTTATTGTTATGTGCCATTGAGTCGGACCCGACTCACAGTGACCCCCTCCTTGGGTAGCTGAGGCAGTATCACTACAGAAGTAGATGGCCCAACCTTCCTTCCGAGGAGTGGCTTGTGGGTTTGAACCTCCAGCCTCTGGTTAGCAGTCAAGTGCCTTAGGCACTATGCCACCAGAGCTCCCTCACAGAGCTCCCTCACAAATCGTTGTTGTTGTTTGCTGTCGAGTCGGACCCGACTCATAATGACCCTTCCTTGGGTTTCTGAGGCAGTATCCCTACGGAAGTAGATTGCCCCATCTTCCTTCTGAGGAGTGGCTGGTGGATTTGAACCGCCAGCCTTCTGGTTAGCAGTCAAGTTCCGTAGCCACTATGCTACCAGAGCTCACAAATCGTAGGGAAGACTAATTCAGATATCTTGGGGAAGGCACATGATAGTCCAAAATCCAAAGAAGGGAGTACGATTCAGTCTGCTCCAAACATTAAAAGCCAAAGTGATCTCAGCTGATTTTAATTTTAATATATAAAGAGTTTCATTTACCAATCAATCACAGTAATATAGACTCATGAATACAAAAGTTAACAAGGGAAATGAATAGGAAACTTATAAAAGGGGATATACAAACAAATAACCATAAGAAAAATGTTAAGGAGGAAGAATGCATTGAGATAAAGGATGGATTTACAACAGCTAAGAAGTCATCTCAGACATTATTAACCATGAAAAGATCAAAGAAAGAGTAGGAGACTCTCTTCCTGTCATAGAACATTCAGGAATTGGAGGCTTTTCTTCTTTGAAGAGTTCTGAGTGTATTTTTTGGTTAATTGGGACCTTGCTGAATGTCTGCGCTCTGTTATGTCATTGGAAGCTCCAGGATACTCAACCTGTAGTCCCGAAAGAACTTGGGGGGGGCACATAATTCCTGAACTGGGTCCCCAGAGGGCACTCACCAGAACCATCTAAGGAGTGATTATGCCTTATGACCTGTACATGAGGGGTACTGGCCACTAGATCATCTTTAAATTCCCTTTGAGCCCCATGTTCCATTAACATAGATTTTGGCCATCAATGAATGATCTGGTTTGTGTTAGGTTTTGAATGCTGAGAATAAGACCAGGATGAATTGTTAGAAAAATAAGTTTTATTGAATCATCCGTCCTGCCCTGCGGATGCGCTGAGGCTTAAAGTAGCATCAGCCCTGATCCTGTCTCTGCAGGGTGCTTAAGTAGTGTCTTAATGCAGGAGGTCTATTGCCTATTTCAAAAGAACCAATCCTAAGTGTTGAAGAGGAACTAAACGTAAGGGAGGGCGGGGGACAAGATAAGCCCGGGGACAGAGACAAAGGATCCAAGCAGAAACTGAGAGTGGGGGTGGGGGTGGGGGTAAAAAGTAAACAAAGAACTCCACCGGAAACTGGGCGTTTGGGGGCGGGAGCACCTGAAGGGACTGAGAGAGAGGGAGAGAGAGAGAGAGAGAGAGAGAGAGAGAGAGAGAGAGAGAGAGAGAGAGAGAGAGAGAGAGAGAGAGAGAGAGAGAGAGAGAGAGAGAGACTGTGTTGATACTGGCAGGCTGGGTAGAGGGTGAAGGGATTTATCTATCAATTTGTATGAGATTACTTTGCCTGAAGTTTGAGGTACTTAATCACTAAATACAGATTATTTCATTTTTCACAAGATGTAGGATGTTTTATTCCCCAAATAGAACAATTATTTTTTTTTTACAGTTTCAGTTGGATTTGAAATGCTCTAGGATATCTTCTCAGTGCACTCACTCAATGCATTTTTCCTCACCATCTGTTATGTGCCAGACACTGTACTAGACTGAGAAAGACAGATGAGGTCCTGGCTTTGACGAACTGATGTGCTAGTGGGGACGAAAGGGAATAAGCAACATATAAATATATACATTGATGTGATGGAGTGATAAGAAGAAAAATAAAACAGGGTTGGGTCATCAGAATGCACTTAAATGGAATCTCTGTGTAGATAAGGTGGTAAGGGAAGGTCCCTGGGAAGATGACTGAATTTTACAGTAACCATAAGAGGCTTGGTGGTGCAATATTTAAGCACTCAAAAGGTTGGCAGCTGAAATCTACCAGAGGCTTAGAGGGAGAAAAGACCTGGTGATCTGTTCCTGTGAAGACTGTTGTTGTCGCTAGATGTAGAGAGTCAGTTTCAACTCAGTGAACCCCATGTGCAACTGAACGAAACACTGCTCAGTCCTGCACCAACCTCACAATCATTGCTATGTTTAAGCCCATTCTTGCAGCCACTGTGTCAACCCATCTGTTTGAGGATCTTCCTCTTTTTTTTTTTGCTGACTCTCTATTTGCCAAGCATGATGTCCTTCTCCAGAAACTGGTCTCTCCTGATAACATGTCCAAAGTATATGAGATGAAGTCTTAAACATCCTTGCTTCTGAGAAGCATTCTGGCTGTACTTCTTCCATGGCAAATTTACTCACTCTTTTGACAGTCTATGGTATATCTAATATTCTTCACCAACACCAAAATTCAAAGGCATCAACTTTTCTTCAGTCTTCCTTATTTATCATCTGATTACAGCCTAGAAAACCCTATGAGGCAGTTCTACTCTGTCCTATATGGTCACTTTGTGTCAGAATCAAC